AAACTGGACCTCCTAAACTTTAAATCTTATATTGTTTTCTACTATTTTATTTTTTTTAAATTAATCTGGAAGTTTATTTTTTTATTTTTTATTTATTTTCATGGCTTTTATTTATTTCTGAGAGAGAGAGAGAGACAGTATGAGGAGAGGAGGGTCAGAGAGAGAGGGAGACACAGAATCCGAAACAGGCTCCAGGCTCTGAGCTGGCTGGCAGCACAGGGCCCGATGTGGGGCTCGAACCCACGAACTGTGAGATCATGACCTGAACCAAAGCCAGACGTTTAACCAACTGAGCCACCCAGGCGCCCCTCTACTATTTTATTTTTTAAAAATCATTTTACCTTCTAAATCTTTTAACTGAAGTATAGTTGATATATATTAGTTTCAGGTGTATAACACAGTGTTTGACAATTATCTATATTATAAAATGCTCACCACATAAGTGTATGCCCTCTGTCACCATATAGTTATTGTATGATTTAAAAAAATGTTTTTATATCTCTGTGCCCAATGTGGGACTCAAGCTTATGACCCTGATATCAAGAGCTGCATGCTCTACTGACTGAGCCAGCCAGGTACCCTCAAAATTATTACATTATTGGCTATATTCCCTGTGCTGTATTTTTCATCCTATGACTTATTTATTTTCTAATGGGAAGTCTGTACCCTTTTATTTATTTTTAATTTAAATCCAAGTTAGCTAACATACAGTGTAATAATGATTTCACAAATAGGATTTAAGGGGCACCTAGGTGGCTCAGTCGGATGAGCAACCATCTTCGGCTCAGGTCATGATCTCACCGTTCGTGAGTTCAAGCCCAGTGTCAGGCTCTTTGCTGACAGCTCAGAGTCTGGAGTTTGCTTCCCATTCTGTGTCTCCCTCTGTCTCTGCCCCTCCCCTGCTCATTCTCTCTCTCTCAAAAATAAATAAACATAAAAAAAATTTTTTTAAAAACCAAATAGGGTTTAGTGATTCATCACTACAAATAATACCTGGTGCTCATCCTAACAAGTGCCCTCTTTAATGCCTATCACTCAGTTAGCCCATCCCCTACCCAACATTCTGCCAGCAACCCTCAGTTTGTTTTCTGTATTTAAGAGTCTCTTATGGTTTGTCTCCCTCTGTTTTTATCTCATTTTTGCTTCCCTTCCCCTATGTTCATGTTTTGTTTCTTAAATTCCACATGAGTGAAATCATATATTTGTCTTTCTCTGACTGACTTATTTTGCTTAGCACTCTAGTTCTAACCACAGCTCCAAATAGTAAGATTTCAATCTTTTAGATTGCCAAGTAATGTTCCATTATATATATATACATCACATCTTTATCCATTTATCCATCGATGGACATTTGAGCTCTTTTCATACTTGGGATATTGTTGATAGCGCTGCTATAAACATTGGGGTGCATGTGCCCTTTTGAATCAGCATTTTTGTATCCTCTGGATAAATACCTAATAGTGCAACTGCTGAGTCGTAAGGTAATTCTATTTTTAATTTTTTGAGGAACCTCCATACTGTTTTCCAAGGTGACTGCACCAGTTTGCATTCCCACCAGCAGTGCTAAAGTCATTCCTCTTTCTCTGCATCCTCACCAACATCTGTTGTTGCCTAAATTGTTAACCTCAGTCATTGTGACAGGTGTGAAGTGGTATCTCATTGTGATTCTGAGTTCTATTTCCCTGATGATGAGTGATGTTGAGCATCTTTTCATGTGTCTGTTAGCCATCTGGATGTCTTCTTTCAGAAGTGTCTTTTCATGTCTTTTGCCCATTTCTTCACTGGATTATTTTTTTGGGTGTTGAGTTTGGAAGTTTGTACCTCTTAATCCTCTTCACCTCTTTAGCTTCCCCTCTGGCAACTATTAATTTGTTCTCATATTTATAAGTCTGTTTCTTGTTTGTCTTGTTTTTTTTTTTATTCCACAGATGAGTGAAATCATATGGTATTTGTCTTCCTCTGTCTGACATATTGCACTTGACACAAAAGCCTCTAGGTCCACCCATGTTGTCATGAATGGCAAGATTTCATTATTTTTTATGGCTGAGTAATACTGTAATACATGTGTCTGTGTGTGGGTGTGTGTACACATGCATCCATGTGTACCAAATCTTCTTTATCCATTCATCTATCAATAGACACTTGGGGCTGCTTCTATACCTATGTAGTGTAAATAATGCTCCAATAAACACAGAGGTGCATGTATCTTTCTCGATGAGTGTTTTCATTTTCTTTGGACAAATGTCCAGAAGCAGAATTACTGGGTTGCATGGTAGTTCTTTTTTTTTTTTTTAGAAATGTTTTCTATCATTTTAGCCTCCCTCTTTTTTCTGGGGGGCTTCTTTATATCTTAATCTTCCAAACTCTTCAGTTTTAAGTTTTTAAATTTTTATTATGTTTTTAATTTTCTTTTTTTTTTAAAATTTTTTAATGTTTTGTTTATTTCTAGGAGAGAGAGAGAGAGAGACAGTGTGAGCAGGGGAGGGTCAGAGAAAGAGGGAGTCACAGACTCTGAAACAGGCTCCAGGCTCTGAGCTGGCAGTCAGCACAGAGCCCGACGCGGGGCTCGAACCCACGAACTGCGAGATCATGACCTAAGAGAAAGTCGGACGCTTAACCGGCTAAGCCACCCAGGTGCCCCATATGTTTTTAATTTTCAAGAGCGCATGCTCTCTCTCTCTCTCTTTTTTGGTTTGCTCTTAGAATGTTCCTTTTTAAAAGAGCATCCTATCCTTGCTTCATAGTTGCAATATCTTCTGTCTCTGGGGATATACATTTTTTTAATGTTTTATTTATTTCTGAGAGAGAGAGAGAGAGAGAGAGAGAGACAGCGTGAACAGGGGAGGGTGAGAGAGAGAGGGAGACACAGAATCTGAAGCAGGTTCCAGGCTCTGAGCTAGCTGTCAGCACAGAGCCCAACGTGGGGCTCGAACCCACGAACCATGAGATCATACCCTGAGCCAAAGTCGGACGCTTACCTGACTGAGCCACCCAGGTGCCCCTGGGGATATTAATAAGATTTTTTTTGTTGTTGTTAGCAATGTTGTTTGCTTTGGTCCCTATTTTACTAAAGGCTTTCCTCAGAAGTCTGATAATCCTCGATCTTCCGCTCATATTTAAAAGTGAAAGACTGTAGCGGTATGTGGGTGGCTCAGTTGGTTAAGCATCCCTCTCTTGATTTTGGCTCAGGTCATGACCTCATGGTCACTGAGTTCGAGCTCTGCATGGGCATCATGCTGGCAGTATGGAGCCTGTTTGGGATTCAATCTCTCTCTCTCCCTCCCTCTCTGTCCCTCCCCTGCTTGCTCTCTCTCAAAGTAAAAAAACAAAAAACCAAAAACTTAAAAACAATGATAAAAGTGGGAGGCTGCAAAGAGTACAGTCCTTTGCAGTACTTTTAAGTATTTAAGTATAGATCACACATTCATTTAGTGTCCCTTTTCTTCAGGATAGCACCCCTCCCCCCAAATGTGCTTCATATCCTCTTATCCACAGACCCTCTATTTTGCCCTTACCAAAGAATAAGTCTTTGGTTTTTGCTGGGATGGGGGAGAGCATCTAGAGATCTCTGGTTTCCTAGAAAACAGACTTTTCACCACTCTTCTTCATTTTAGCACAGGCCCCTCCATATCAACCTCCCTGTATAGAAGGCCAACTTCTGAGTCCTTTGGGGATTACCCAGTGAAAACAGGCTCTATTGGCTCAGCATTCACTTTTCTTGGGACTCTTCAGTCATTGAGTAATTGACCATCTACTTTCCAGCATCTAACACTTTGTTGCTGTTACCTCCATCCTTGTATGGATTCACGTCATTCAAACAAAAAAAATACCTCGGGGCGCCTAGTGGCTCATTCGGTTAAGCGTCTGACTTCGGCTCAGGTCATGATCTCACGGTTTGTGAGTTCGAGCCCCGCGTTGGGTTCTGTGACGACTAGCTCAGAGCCTGAAGCCTGTCTTCCGATTCTGTGTCTCCCTCTCTCTCTGACCCTCCCGTACTCACACTGTCTCTCGCTCTCTCAAAAATAAATTAAAAAAAAAAAAAGAAAAAATATCCCTTTATCATTCTTTTAGTGCTGTTTTAGGAGGAGGTAGGAGTAGGTCTGTGTACTCAATCCTTCATTTTTACCTAGATGTTCCTGTGTGTTTTTTTTTTTTTTTACAGAACCACAGCTATCTCCTGACTTCCTGTGAATAACATAATCTTCAGTGAATCACTTCATGTGAAAAGCATACGTGAGACAATGAAGTCTATCAAGATGCATTTCTACATACAGAGGGCCTGTTTCTCACTTTATAAGATTTGGTATCTCGGAGTTCACTTTTGTGTCCCAAATGGTGGTGTCACTTAACAGTATGACAGACATATTGAGGTTAAGATTATTACAACAGTAACATATAAGAGACACAAGATACTCTTATGTATTAGAGACAAAAGAGCTTCAAAATAGTCCAAATGAAATCAGAAATAATTCTCCAAGACTACACTTATTCCAGAAAGAAAAAAGAAACAGTCCAGCTTCTTGGGTATCCACTCAAAAATGGTTGACCTGGACCAATTAACATTCTAATGTATGTGCTAAGGCACGTATCATCATGGAGTGAGCTACATATGCAGTCCTCTATCTGAAAAATATTTACTTTATATATTTCAAGTCTTTAAAATTCACATACTTGACCCTAACATACTTCTACCTTGATACTATTTTTTATAGTTTATCATGAGTTGTATCCAGGTTGTAGGATTAGTTTATCCAGAAATCAGTATCAGAAACCATGCGGATGTTTCTTAGTCAATGACAACAACCAACAATGATCTCATCAAGTGATTCTTACAAGTCCACTTAGGCAGAAAATTAGCACACAGATATTCAGTTAACCATAGAAACACCTCAACCCTGCAGTAAGCTTCCTTTTTAAAGGAACCAAAGTTTCAGAGGCAAGTCAACATTCCACCAGCCAAGCTGAGAAGGCCAGGAAAAGGCAATAAAGGCAGTAAGTACCTGCACTGATCCCCCATGGCGGTCTGCAGCCAAGTGAGACGTCAGGTACGAGGTATTGGTCTGCCGGCTGGGCTGGATTTCCCACTCTCCTCGGCGCTCTGACGATGCAGTCTGCTCAGGCATTAGGAAGCATGAGAGCAAGATATGGAAGGACAGGTGAAGCAACAGCAAGCAATAACAAAATCAAGTACATTAGTGTCCCTGAAGGTTTTGTTTTCGTTTTGGATTTTAAACTAACAACCGCTGCAAAGCACTGGAAAAAAGTTAGCTTGGCTACATTCACTGCAGCCCAATGAGCCAACACATGACATTCTACAGCACATCATCCTCACCCAGACACAGAAAAACAATAATCACCAAAAGGGCGGGTGGGGTGGGAATGGGGTAACCACCAAAAGCTCGAATCATTTTTAGCTTCCATATTAGTAAAATTTCAGTAGCCACTAAGCAGACCAAATTCAGAATGTTAAGACTAATGGACAAAGGAATAATCATACTTACAAATCATTTCATTGATTAAAGATCTACCTAAATAGACAGTAGTCAATACGGAAAATTCCTAGCATTAGGAATCAAGATAATATGGCTTTTAGGGAGCCTACCACTCTCAACATAAACCTCCACAAGACTTTCAAATAGGATAAAATGAACAGTGGCAGTGGCTGGAATATACTTTCTTATCTAAGAGAATGAAAAAAGTCTCTCCTCAAAATAGGTTCACAGGTCAAGAAATGAAAAGATGGGGGGCGGGTAAGGCTATAATGTTTTCCTGCTTCCTCTAGCTAATGGCCTCTACTCTGGAATTAGAAATAGTTTTAGATAGGACTACTATGAATTATTTTCTTCTAGAAAGCAAAAGGCAGATCTTTCCCCAGCAAAAGGAGGGCTTTTAATCCAAAACCTCTTTGGGTTCTGCTTTCAGTTTTGCTGTCATTCAGTCTCTCTTCATTCCTTCTTTACCTGTTTTTTAGATCTCATACTATTCTGATCTTGCTCATTTGTGATTTTTGTTCTGAAGAATCTGTTTAGGTGCCTCTTCCCCTGTACCAGATGGCTGAGGAGGTGTTAACATCATGATGCTCAGCTGTAACAGTCCTAAGGCTCTACAAAATGAAAAATGAGGAGTTGGAGAGGCAGCAATGAGGGATTGGTAAATCAAATTTTAATTGCTGCTGATATAAACAGCAGCAGGGGTTGGGATGTGATATTGCTGCTCTGCACGAAAACCAGCAAGGATGCAATAAATCTTAGAAATGTTCACAGCTATCAATGTTGTGTTTTATATTAAAAAAAAAAGGAAAAGGGAAGAAGTGGTGGTTTGAGACTCATACTTACTCTCCCTCTTCTGTATCTCATTGACAAGAGTTGTTTAAAGCTCATGTGTAAGTCACTAAAAAAGCCTTTTTCATTAAAAAACAACAACAACAACAACAATCCCAAGCCTCGTATACCAGCTACAACTTACTCATCTTTATTAATGTAACATGAAGGCACATGGGTAACAGCACTGTAAAGGGTCCAGGCCATGTTTTCTGACATTCCTCAGGGAATGAGCATATTCTGTAAGGAGGCAGCTTGTATTAACTTGCTTGCTATATTCTCTAACAAAAGAGGGGTTTGGTTCTACACCTCTAGTCACATTTGAGAATCAAAAGTACCCAAAATACCTGACCCTCCAACTATTTCTGCCAATAGAAGTTCAGATGTTTCATTTTTCAAAATAAGACTGTGGTTTATAACATAATCTTAGTTTTTATAAATTTATTGACAGTATCCGTATTCTCAGAGTACTTAATCTTGTATCTTCTTACCACTAGAGATTTGAGAATAAATTGGGTTTAAACATTTTTTTAAATTTTTTATGTAATCTCTACACTTCATGTGGGGCTCGAACTCAAAACCCGAAGATCAAGAGTTACATGCTCTACCAAATGAGCCAGCCAGGTGCCCCAAGAATGAATCTGTTCTAATATTATAAGTAATATCAGTAACTATTTTGTATTAGTGATAGCTTCTTTAGTTCTCTCTAGAACTTTGTTTTTTGTGATATTTAAGTAGAGTATTTAAGCTCCTACACTATTATGAAGAACTGTCAGTTCTCAAAAACTTTAAATGTTTAAACAATATCCAGACATTTATAAGCCTTTGGTGTTGTTTTGAGTTTCATGATAAAATATTTAATGTGATTACTTTTTTCATGAATGCTCTGTTTTGCACCTGTTTTTAGGGCAGATAAAACTGAATAAAAATGGCAAGAAGTGTGCCTATAACACTCATATGCTTTTAAGCTTAACAAAACCTGGGCAGCTGATCAACTACTATTTCCATTTTTACTGAAACACATATCAGAAGTCTGGTTTGATGCTACTGTCTGATTCATAGGACTGTGTACCTATTCACTTTCATTCTAGCTAAATGCATCATTTGTTCAAAAAATTAACATTTGTGTCTAGATTTTAAAAATAGCAAGATATTTTCCAAAGGCCTAAAGTCATACTCCATCTCCATGATTAAAGCAATGTGTTATCTCTTAGAAAGAGAAAAACAATGTGAACAATTCCAGGCTGCTTCATAAATGCTCCCACTGTGCTGAACGAAGAAGAGGACCCTGCACCAGACTGCTGCCCTCCAATGACTTCTAGATCCACTGAAAGCAACAAAACCAAGACGCACATGTGAACCAGGGGTTGTTGGTTCATCACTTTGGGAATTACTTTTTATCATAATACTAAACTCTATGGCTATTCCCACTAGAATTTAAGGGCTTGTACTGGTATACACAAGTTGATACAGGAGAAAGGGTCATTTGCTAGTTTTAGAAAGCAACTGAGTGCCCAGGAACCAGATCAAACTGAGGAATGTCAACAACTACAGTGTTCTGTTCGTGTACCTCCCAGGTATTCTAGGCAATGCTGTGTACATGCGATTAGGGTTGGGAAGAATCAGCACAGTCTTACTAAGCAAACCTGTAGAGGAGATGGGCGTGTGAACGCTTCACTCTCAAAGACCACTCATGCACACATGTCTATCTAACAGACAATCAGAAGCTTTGATGGACAAAAGAATCACTCAGCAAGCTCAGTCTCTCTGCATTACTTGAAAGGCAAAGGTCCACATGGAGTGTGTAAATCCCCAAAGGCAGAAGCAGGAATCTCAAGCAGAAGGAATTCCTTGGAGGAATGCTTTAAAATCTTCTGTTGGGATTGCATTACCTGTGTGGAAATGCTTGGTTTACTATCCAGTAGGTGAACATGGAAATAAGAAAGTGGCGACCCAGGATAGCATAAATCAAAGACAAAGCTAACAAAAGGGGGGATCCTGGTATAAAAATCAAAACCACCACCTGTGCTTTAGGGCAGAGGAAATGGATCTCTCCCAGCAGTCATCTGGTACGGATTAATGCACACAGTGGGGAGAACGACACTAACAAAGAGCACAGGAAAATGCAATCTGAAAACACCTCAGACACAATCTATGGCTTGAAAATTCTTTCCAATACTTATTGGAGATAAAGCTCCTGCTCTGAAGCAAAAGCCAGGCAAATATTTTTCTCCTGTTGCAGCAAATAAATCCTTGAATCCCATTGTTTATATACAACTATATAGTTATTCTGAAAAATTAATTTTGATTACATTTGTAAAGAACTTTCTCCATTTCACTTTATGGCTCCCAAAGTACTTTACAAGGTGCCACCTAAACAGAACATTTTGGCCTCCCATGTCAGTCTTCCAGGCCTCATTATAAAATTGTAATCTTAAACTTTAATTAGCAAGAATAGAGACTGAGTAGTACCAAAAAGTTAGCAATTAATACACTAGATTACACTGTCTTACCACACTTGTAAGGTTAAAAAAAATTGTTTTTAAGTAGCAGGGGTAAGATGTAAGAAGAAAAAATGGGGCAGGAAGCAGGTCAAGAAATTTTTCTTGAGCATATTAGACCTTAGATATGAAATTTTTAAAAGGTGGCATAGTTATTGAAGTGTACAGTTCAACAAAATTAAAAAACTCTCTTCTGTTAAGCTCATGAAATAGAACCAGATTTCTATGCCAGACAAGGATGAGTCCATGCAACCTGCCCTGTGTGTAGACAATTCCTTCCCATATTCTACAAAACTTGATAGCGAAGATCAGAGATGTTTGAAAATCACTGATAACCTGGGAGGGATTATTACCAAGTTCAATAAATGTAGGCCCATAGAGACAGTAGTGTCAATTCTGCGAAGCTCTGAGAAAAATCATGGAACCATTCTAGAGGTCTGAAACACTCTGCTCAAACCCTGCCCCATTCTTATTCAAAAGGGTAGAAGCCGCCCCTCAATCCCTATCCAGCCACAATGAGGGAAGGATGACTTATCTAGGTAGGACTGCTCATAACATAACACAAGATGTCTGCTGAAATACAAAATATTGAAGATTAGATGAAGAAAACTTTTATAATTTTTAAGTAGGCTCCACATCCAATGTGGGGGTTTGAACTTGTGACTCTCAGATCAAGAGTCACGTGCTCCATCGACTGAGCTAGCCAGGAACTGCTGCACAAAGAGAACTTCTAATATGTAATAGGGAATTAGGGCAGAGGTGAGCAGCAGCAACTAGGTGACAGAACAGAAGAAGGTAAGAAAAGGACTGGATTTCAGTTTCCTTTACACTTCCTTGTTACAATGTCTCCCTTTGGATAAAGGTCTCAGGAATGAGGAGGGACAGCCCCATTCTGCACAGAGCTCTATGCTGGAGGGTGACAGGATGAGTGTGGAATCTTTATACCTGAGTTCCTGCTAGACAGCAGGCAGCAAGTTAGGAAATTACACACAAGTCAGAGGGCCGTAAATTCTCTCTGAGCACACTCATCTGCCCCTTCAACTGACAAACTTCGAACCTTGCTGAAAACCAAATAGTACTATGTCAAAGGAAGGGAATGGAGAATTAATCAACTTTTGTTTTTTCTAAAGCTACTGGACTTTCAAAAGAATCTATAAAGATATTCGTTTTAGGAATATCTCTGACCATCTTGGCTACTTAGCAATCTGACTTAATCTCTCCTCTGGAAAAGCGATGCTTATCACAAGCTTCTTCCAGTAAGCACCACAGCGCTAAACCAAAACATACTTT